AAAAGTGAGGGAGAGAAAGAGAAGTAGAGAAAGAGAGAGAGAAATGTTGCCAGCGCTACACTACTTTAATTACTCTCTCCTGCACCAGATCCCCTCTCACTGACGTTTGGGGAAAAGCTTAATTAAAATCCTCATTATTTTACTTTTAATTAGTTCCCCCCTCTTTTGTTTCCTTTCACCATATGGCCATGTTCTGTGGTCAAATTAACGTAATTGAGCTAATTAAGCCGATCGCCTTAATTATTCAAAGCGCTCTGATTGGGCGAGGAGCCTGCTTTTTTTCACCCTGCCTCTCTCCTTCTCTGACATTCTCTGCTCTGGGAAGTTCACAGTTGTCAAGTCTGTCTCTCTGTCGCAGAGGCCCTACTGATTCACTGCACAAGTGGCTCATTACTAGCTAACACTGAGGAGACATGTTCTAGAAAGCGATCTGATGGAGACCTGAGGGAGCTCGCGACAACCGACCGCACCCTCCTGTGATATGAAAGTCTAATGAGTTGATATTACGTGTAGGATCACGAAGCAGAGAGCCTGATGTGAGTGTTGTTTTGTCAAAACGTTGAGACTCGGCGAGATGGAGACCGAAACCACAAGTCTATTGAATGCTCTGATATCTGCCAGAGCCGCGGCCTAGCGTTCATCGAGCTGTGGTGTGCTTTTGAGTTCAGCTCACCTCCATTCCTGTTCCCTGGTTTTGACTAGCAATCGCAATAGACATGCCAAAAACAAAATACTAGCGGTTAGCATGCATGTTCCATGAAAAGAAAGATTGTGAGACTCTGACAACATGTAAAAGTTAGGGGCAGAAAGAAATATAACTTGTTTTTAGCAGGAGGGGGACTAAATAATAAAATTAATGCGACCTCTACTCTTAGGCTTAGCGGTTAGCATGCATGTTCCAACAATGCTATGAGGCTAATGACGAGAGTTTGAGTGCAGCTCATGTCAGTTTGCATTTCTGCATCATTTTCTGTCCTGGCTATACTATCAATATCAATAAAGTGGCAGAAAGACCAAAAAAGAGAATGCGCTGAGGTTTGGCAAGGCTGTGGCTGAACATTGTGCTATGAGGCACATGCGGTGCGAGTTTAGCTCGCATGCTAATACATAATAACCTTAGATTTTTACCTCTGATTATGGCATTTAGGCTTCAGAACTCCTATAAGTTGTTCTTGATTAACATAATGAACAAAATGTGTAAGAATCCTAAACTGTTGTTGGTCACAGAGCTTCTTTTCTGCAATAAATCCAAAAGCCAGTGGACAAATCCTAATGGGTTTTATTCAAGGGAACAGGGCTGGGCGATGCTAAATTAGGTTGGCCTACAGTATGTCATCCCTGCAGCACTTATTTATGCAGTGGATGTGAATTTTTTTGTGTAATTTCTCGTCCTCTACATATTACTACTACATACTACATACTATTAATAACAAATTAAAGGTGAAAGGGGCAAAAAAATGAATGCTATAAGATTTGTTGGTGATGTGTGTTAGCGGTTAGTGTATACCAGGGGCGTAGATTACGCGGGGGATGCGGGGGACGTGTCCACCCCACTTTTAATATCACGTAAATTCGTCCCCCGCACTTTTTCGGGCAAGTGTGTTCGCATAGAGGTCTTCAAGAGCCGGTGTGAATAAATATTGATTTAAATTCAAAGAGACAGGATAGTCAAGCAGTTATTTTAAATAGTAAAAATATTTCACAACATTACTGCTTTTGCTGTTATTTTTTTATATATAACATTTCTGTCCCCCTCACTTCTGAAATAATGGCTACGCCCCTGGTGTATACTATTACAAAGAGAAAGAAAATATATAAGTTGTGGGCTACTTTAGAAAGAAAAAATGTTAATATGAAAAAGGAGGAGAATCAATAAATTATTATTGATATTGTGTTAAAAATATGTAATCATGTAATCAAAAACGTAACTGTAGTCTGATTACAAGTATTTAAAAAATGTAAAATAATATAATTACAAGTACTTAATTTTTGCGTCTTCAAGAGCCGGTGTGAATAAATATTGATTTAAATTCAAAGAGACAGGATAGTCTGTGCATGATCTGATGTTTTATTCGGACCCAGAATAAGGCGAGATGAACATCACGGAGCGCTAAACACTCTAAAGATTTTTAATGTTTTATAAAGAATTATCTTCTGTTCACCAAGCCTGCATTTATTTGATCAAAAGTACAGCAAAACAGTAAAATTTTGAAATATTTTTACTAGGCTATTTCAAATAACTGTTTTCTATTTGAATATATTTTAAAATGTAATTTATAGTGATTTCAAAGCTAAATTTTTTGATGTAATCAAAAACGTAACTGTAGTCTGATTACAAGTATTTAAAAAATGTAAAATAATATAATTACAAGTACTTAATTTTTGCAATCTGATTACACAATCCAGATTACATGTAATCAGTTACTACCCAGCACTGATGATTATTATTATACCATGATTACACCTGTTCAAAATCTCTTTGTTTTTTCTGAAGCAATTTTTTAAACCTACAATTGTTAATTGAATAATACTTGTTCTCTATCCAAAACCCTTAACTAAAATGAAAGGGAAATATAACGTGATGTATAAAAAGCATCTTACCTCATTCCCTAACCCTAACCTCAAAATCGTATTGGTTGATAGAATGTTGCTCTAGGACCAACAAAAACATTTTTTAAAGCATGTTGTATTTGGCGAAATTACAGGAAGCATCGGAAAGTGTTGAAAAGGCTGAATAAGTGAATGTTTGGAAGACAGCGGCCGTGTGATATTTAGGTACAGAAATTGTGACAGGAAAACAAAGCGTTTCTAAATGTTCTTAGTTGTTAGCTGGTAAAAATATCCACACTCTTCTCTTTCCCACTTTTTCACAGCGTGAGGCATGGAAACGAAAGGCAATTACACTCATTTGCATGTGTTAATATGATTAATTAGTGAGTATAAACACTTTTTCCATGACAGAAGCAGCATAGCAATCCATACACCTGCAAACTTTTTCTGATAAAGGATAATGCCTGTTGACTAAGAGGCTTTTTTTTTCTTCCCTCAGACCCTCTAATTGGCATGTGAATATGCGTGGTTAATTAGGAATATGCAGATGAAGCTTGATTGGTTTGAATGCAGAGTGTAAGTTGAGGCACGGTGGGTTCAAATTGTGCCGAGGTTTTGATTTCCTTATCAAGATATGAAGATAATTGCAATTGTGATCATTTGCATACGGTAATGAATTTGCCTGATGCGTTTCAATCGAATGTGAAATAAATAATTGATGCAGTATCAGCACCTACACCGACATCAGGGATGCTTTTTTATAACTACGAGCATTAAGGTGCCATTTTTGGAGCTGATTTAAAGAACGTATCGTCACATCTTTCCAACAAGTTTTTATTTTTATTATTTTTTTCTTTTGTGGAAATGTCAATTACTTGTCTCTAAAGTTAAAAGAAGAGCAATTTCCCACTAGTTTAGAGGCGGCTTACTCAAGGGCAGGAGGTTGTGGGAAGGGAAAGGGGGTGAAAAAGTTGTGCTGTGTACTTTAATTGCGACATGGTAAACATTTAATGCGTGTGATTGTTTTGAGGCAGCGAACGGAAAGGAGCGACTGCCTCTTAATTAACTAGGTTGCAGATTAGTCCTTATTAAATTCAAACACGGGATCAGAGCAGAGTTCAGTCTCCCCAGTGCAATAGCAGCACAGATACGGCACTCACAATGAACTTACACACTCCACGCTCACATTTAATTGCTTCTGTAATGGTCCGAGCTTTGGGTAATCGGGTTTGCACCGCTGAGAGCAAAGCTAATAACTAGCAGAAAAACAGTAATAAACAATGAACAGTGAAATCTGGATGGCAAAAAGGGACAACAAATTCATTCTTGGCGGCTGGGTTGTTGTATTTCCCATTTATTGGATAATTGCACCTTAAATAGATATCACATGTTGAGCAGATAATTCAACCGTTACAGAGAGTACTGGTATAAAAACATATTTACAATTCTACACCCTGAACGATGTCCAAAAGATGTACGAAGATATTCTGTGTTTGACGTTAGTCAACATGAAATCAAAACCAAGCCCATTTACCTTCTAAATGCACTTTTCTGGTGTTAAAGTGTGTCACATTTACTTCTTGGTGCAAATTTGTGGGCGAAATCCAGTTGTTTGGCAACTGACCCTTCGCAAAAACCCGCCCACCTTAGTTACTGTTGCTATGTCCGACCCACTCAAGAGACAAAGAGAAAACTGACATCGCGCTGACAGACAAGACAGAGCAGGTTACTTCTGGTATGAAACAAGGTCTCAGCTTTCAAATTTTGTCATTTTTTAAAGAAATTACAACAATAAATACCGTTTTGTGTCTCTTTAGTGTGTCGCGAGAGATCACTGCATTGCCTCAGTTCAAGCGGCACGTGAACCAATCGTCTTTTCATATTTATTTAAAGCATGAAATAAACATGAATGAACATCGGAACGTATTTTATTTCAACCGTGGAAAGACATCAATACACACCAATTATTCCAATTACACACCATTATTCAAATTTGAGTCCACCGAAGTTAATCTACTCTACTGGGCTGCGTTTCCCAAAAGCATCATAAGCCTAAGTAGCTCCATTGGTTTCAATGGGTCTATGGTGTACTTAAGCTTACGTTGCTTTTGGGAAACGCAGCCCTGTCTGATATGTTTGTCAGACAAGATGGCAGATTCTGCATCATGATTGGTCAGATCGCCTGTGAATCAAGCTCTTTGCAAAGGGTCAATAGGATACAACTTTGCATGAGGTTGAAATTGTTTCTACAAAGACTTCACTCATGTTCGAATTGGTCACGCAAATTCACCGCAATTGGAAATGGTTTGAAAGTGATTCAAGTGTGAGCTGTGCTTAATACACTGCTACAGTATTGAGAACAGACATTTTTTACAGCAAAACTGCTGAAATTTGTTGTGACTGCACCTTTAGTGTGCATGATTTATCAGTGCACATTATTTCAAACTAAAAAAAAGTCATAAAAATTCAACAAAATGTAATAACTTTCACCATTTTCGCCTGACATCACCAGTCTCTCTTATGTAATGGCCACTTTTCAAGTTCCAAACAATTCTTGATGCATTTGTTCATGATTAAATATCCTTTTTAAATCGGATATATGTCAAAAACGGGTTGTGAACGCAGTTTCATCTTGCCTCGAAAAAGCATACATTGCTTTTTCAGATGAAGCCTTCTCTCTTGAGGTTAGATGTAAGAGAGGCAGGATATCCTGTGAGAAAATAGAAGTCACTTCTGTTTTCAGGGGGCGAGAAAGCCACAATGAGAGATACTGCAGAATCCACCACAGTTTGATATGAAGTCAGATATAAAGAAATGCTTCCATCGCTCTCAGCCCAAACTCGTTCTCCCACTTTTTCATTTAAGTCTGTAAAAACGTAAGTGCATCAAAGGAGGAGTGTCTGGAGGATGTCAGGAGCTGTGATGAGAAAGACACTGGAGGGTAAACCAAATATAGACTAAAGAATAGGAAGGGGCGAAGAAGTCCTTCAGCAAACCTACAAGACACAAGACTGGTTAAACTGCATGTTTATGCTCTTTGAAAACACTTTAGTTATGGACTGCAGACAAAGACCAAACTCACATTGTAATATGACCTTAAAGAGTAAAACTCACTTTCTGGTCCGGTAGCACCGGGTTGCTCTGCAGGTGAGTATTAAGGAGTGCAGCTCCTGGCCGGTCATGTTCACAAAATATGGTGCCGTTTACATAGTGGAATCGGTCACCGGGGACCAACTGGTTTCTGCAGGTTGCACAGGAGAAGCACTGGAACAGAAAAGAGAGAATCGAGTAAATTTGACCCTGCGGCGTGTTGTAAGTGCTGCATTATTAGCCATGTGTTTTATTAAAGTATGCAGAGCTGCTAGTCAGGGCCTAACTGCCTCATCTCAGTGCTTAAAATTATTTTTTAATGAGTTAATCCTCATGCAACCAAGGTCAGTTTCATTGTAAAAGAACAAGACTGAACAAGGTTAGCATTAGGAGAACATTATTATGAGAAGCTGTAAGATATCTAGGCTTGGCCCAGAAAAAGAAATACTGTAATATGACAAATAAATAAATAAAGATTCACATGTTTAATTCAGCTCTAACGAACATCTGCTATTTAGAAACCCATTAAATATAGCACTCGAGTTAAAGGGAAGCACAGCCAAAAAAATGAAAAATCTGCCATTTGCCTCATGTCGTCCAAACCTGTTTGACTCAACAAATGAAACTCAAAGGTGTCCAATGTCATTTTGGATTGATTTTTATTGCATGGACAAAAACATTCTTCAAAACATATTTTTGTGTTTCAAGAAGAAAGTCAATCATACAGGTTTGGAAAGACACAAAGGTAAGCAAATGACTTTTTTAATACAGGTTTGGAAATGCATGACGGTGAGTATTTGTTTATTTTGGGGTGAACTTTTACAATGCTGTCATAGTTGTGCTTCACATAACCAACCTTGAGGTGGTAGACGTTGCCCTGTGCCCGCATGACCATTTCACTGGCTGGAATGGACTGACCACATGCACTGCAAGCCCCCGTGTGCCCAAACAACCTGGAAAGCACAGAAAACACAAATGAAGTAGAAGAAACATGTTGTAGAACCTGGTTTTGCTTTATTGCAGGAGAACAGCTATGACTTCAGCAGTCTTATCTCCCAGAGTTGACACAACAGGCTTAACATTAACTGATGCCGTGTGATGCATCTAAGACAGCATGCAGCGTCTCTGATGTTCTCTGTGGGAGCATGTGAGAATGCATCTGCAGAGATCATCAGCACTCGGTGGATGCAAAGGAGTCCAATGCAAATCAACACAAGAACAAAATGCTTGTCAGCATAGCATGACAACTACAGCTTCAGACAACTTTGGCTAGGCTATTTGAATTGCAAATGACTGTGGAGACTCTTGCCTCAAACAGTCTCATTATCGACTTGCGTCTTTGTTATAATAATTAAGATTTCGGATGTGGTCACTACTAAATGTGGAGGTGAAAAAACATGGCTCTATGAGTTAAAAGCCTATTTCACACTCATTACTAGTTGTTAAATCTAACTCATGTCATGCATGGTATTTTAAAGGGGTCATATGATGCGATTTCAAGTTTCCCTTTCTCTTTGGAGTGTTACAAGCTGATTGTGCATAGATAAGATCCCTGAAGTTGCAAAGACTAAAGTCTCAAAACCAAAGAGATATTCTTTATCAAAGTTAAGACTCTGCCACGCCCCCCTAAAACGGCTCGTTCTAACACGCCCCCACATATCTACCTCACTATGTGGAAATATTAGCATAACGCGGCCCAAATGTGCACGCAAAGAAAGAAAGCGTGGTTTCAGTAACCGCAGTTAGTGTAGAAGCAGCATGTCAGGGAGACGCTGTGAGTTTCTAGGCGAAAGCAAAAGCACTTTATTTGGCCTTCCGAAAGTAGATGCATTTAGGAATCTTTAAGATCACTTACAACAGAACAGCAATGCATTTTATGGACGACCGTTTCATGAACCTAGGAGAGGAGGTAATTCTGACTTTGCTATGACAATCTGGCGCTTCTGAATCAGCTACTGTTTTGTTATTAGTTTAAGTATTTGCTATTGACTGTTCAGCATGTAAACATATTCTTGTTACACCAAATAACAAAATAATGATCTTTAAAAAAAGCATCATATGACCCCTTTAAGAGCGTAAGATGAGTTTTTCCGTTTGTAATTTGCTCCAACATTTTGTAGACTACCTGAACAATTTATGGTTCACTGAGCAATTAAATGATTTCTTAAAATATGTAAGTGACACCAAACAGCACTTGATTAGTGAAATTAAGTGCGTAGAAGTTATATTAGTGCAGTAAAAATTAAGTGATCAAACGAAATATACAAAAATGGTTGTATGTTCTGATTATTTTATGTTGTTTTCTATATTTTCAACCCTGTTACTAAAATAAGATATAGTTTAAACAATTTAAAATCTTGCTTTTTTGTGTTTTCTGCTATAAACATTAAAACGCATCAAATTTTAGCAGATAATACAATCAAACAGACTTATCCAATAAAAAAAAATGTGGTAAAATGTAAACAGGGTTACAAGTAACAGGGTTTAAAATTTAGGCTGAATCAAATCATAACTCAGTAGGAACAGCTAGTCTGGGACCCAATGCTGGTTTGTAGTAACTGATAAACCACATTTAACTGATCCTAAATTAAAAAACAAAAACATGTTTGTTCACAAAAACTTGGGTAACAGGGTGGAAAGGTTATGCTCAATACAATGTTTTAGAAAAGGTCCAAATGATGTTACTCCCTGGGTGACACAATTTTAGAAATTATTAGTATTTGTAAAGGGGAAAAATGAGAGTAACTGGGTTTAGACTACTTTTTTATTTATTTTTATTTTCCCATTTTTCCCATTTTAGTGATTAAAATTAGTTAAAGAGTTTTACTACAATGAGTTGAAGATCAGTTCAACAGATTATGTTAATATGATAAATTGCTAGATGTGGTTGAGAAGGTCATGACCTCTGAGCTAAGAGGGGTCATACAGAAATACTGTTTCAAAACAAGCTACTTATCATGCTCGATTAATTTGGTCATCTAATATCAGTTGATCAAATACATCTACTGTAACACTTCTCACAATGAATCTAAATGTCTCAGGTTCTTTGGTGTTGGAGTGTGTGTCTGACCTGATGTAGTCTGTTCTGCAGAGGATCATGCCTCCTTTGCTGTAGCAGGTGGTCCCGATCTCTCCCAGCTGAGCCTGACAGCACGAGCACTTGAGGCAGCGTGTGTGCCAGTAGCGCTCCATGGAGAAGAGCAGGAAACGGTCAGCGATACGACCCCCACAGCCCGCGCACGACCTGGATGCACACGCGCCGCCTGTAACCTGGCTGTTCACCATAGCTACGGCTGCAAGGAGGCAAATGAGAAAACCAGCTGTGTGAACTTAATCTAACCATGTATGACATACTATATATGATGTACAATTCTTTCTATAATAGATGTAACAGTACAGCAGTCACAGTGCAATGAAGAGGACATGGCTCTCCCAGTTTAAAACAGTGGTTCTTAAACTTTTCAGTACCTCAGATAAATGAATATTTGTTGGCTATGCAACCAAATAAACAAGTCATCAAGTGCATCCTAAACTACAGTGATGCAAAGATATTGGTAAACATTGAGATATATACAAGATACATAAAGTAAAGGTGCCAAAGTAAAGATTGAACACGAATAAAGTTCATGATTCATCATGTTTTTCGATATTTAAGTAAAGCTTGGATATTAAAAACAATGTCTAATTTAACATCCTACGCATCTAAAAACCCAATATGAGGTCTTGTGATAAAACAATCAATATTTTCCATAAGCAAGCAATAAAAAAAAACTCAACAAGCAGACAAGGTCCAGAATAAACCGTACTTAACACAGTTTTTTTTATAGTTTTTTTTTAACACTTCATTGTTTTATATGATTTCCACTGCAATGCCACTTAGTGTAAGAATACCCAAAAATCTTGTCAGGCAAAGAAGAATCACTAAAAAAACTCCAAAAAACTAATTAACTGTAATAATTAAATCTTTACCCTTTAAACCACTAGGTTTAGTATGTTCACTTTCTCCTATATAAGGTAACAATAAGTATTCGGTTTAATTTTTGCATAACCACATCTGTTACGCTTAATGACAACGTAACATTATTTCACCCCTGTTTTGAAATGTTAGTTTCACAAAAGTTATTTGAAACATTAAAATAGATACTTTAATTGCATTTAATATGCTTTCTATGTATATAAAATTCACTTTTGTACATACACATTTTCTTTTATTTGTTTATCTATCTTAAATAACTAACATGTAAGAATATTTGAAATCTATTGCATCAGCACAGAAGCAGCATTACAATACAGAACATGCCTTGATGAATCCACAGTGCACTCTAAACTTTAAATTCTCAGCTCATACATTGAAACTTTGTCAATTTGAATTTATAGTGCAAATACCTATTAAATCCACCAAAATGTCTCATATGTGACTGTACAGAATGCGACTCACCTTGAAGAGCTTCGATCCTCCCGTGAGTTGTTACACTGTATAAAGTCGAAGTTATCCACCTCGAGACTCGCGCTCTTTTGACGGTCCTCCTCTTCACGCCCACATTGTACAGTAACCAGCAACACGGTTTAATTAGCGTCGCTTCGCTGGACAGGGAATAGTTACTGGTTCCGTTGCATTGTGCAGCGCTCCAAAAGAAGACCTCGAGAGAGTGGACTTTATTCCGTGAGATGTTTCATCGAGCAGACGAGCATCGAGTGAAGCTCACTGACAGACGGAGGCGTCGCGGGGCTTTTTATTATCATAGGCGTGACGTAACAGAGCGGTACACTTCACCTTCGGGGCGTGGCTTATAACATAATCAATATAAGCCTAATAAATATTTGTCCGTCACGAATAGGCTATTAAATCACGCAAATTAGACATATTGCATATTACATTTATTTATAAAAATATAAACCGGATAATCGATCTTTATTCTCAAACAAAACAGATAACATGGATATTTATAAAGTAACCCTTGTGAAAATTCACTGTAATAAAGAAAACGTTACAGTAAAGTTGTGCGCATATTTATTCTCCTTAAGGACAAACTCACATGCAACTAAAGTTGAAGAACTCATTTTGAAAATGCAGACGCAAACGATTCTTTTGAGCGGTTCGTTTCCAAGAATCGGTTTAAAAATAATCCAGAGATTATTTTACGTCAAGACGCGTTGCGTCACCAAGTGGTCCTTGACATTTATGCTGGACATTTGTTTTTAAAGGACTTCGATTGGGGTAAAAAAAAAAAAAAGTTGCTTTATTACCCCAATCGATGTCCTCCTATATAACAATATAACATTAACATAGAACAACTAAAACATATATAAAACAATAGTATCAAATCTAAAGCAGACGAACCGAGGACTCATCTGCAAAAACATTATTTCAGCATTTTACACTTTTTTCCCTTTTTTTTTCTTCCTACTGCTCCACCAAGCCTTAATGGATCCAAGTTTGATCTGATATTAATTACAGGTGCATCTCAATAAATTAGAATGTCGTGGAAAAGTTCATTTATTTCAGTAATTCAACTCAAATTGTGAAACTCGTGTATTAAATAAATTCAGTGCACACAGACTGAAGTAGTTTTGGTTCTTTTAATTGTGATGATTTTGGCTCACATTTAACAAAAACCCACACAATTAAAAGAACCAAAACTACTTCAGTCTGTGTGCATTGAATTTATTTAATACACGAGTTTCACAATTTGAGTTGAATTACTGAAATAAATGAACTTTTCCACGACATTCTAATTTATTGAGATGCACTTGTACGTTTTTCCTGTTTAAGTATCAATATGCACACTGTAGCTAACTAACCTGAAGGTGCAGGTTTTATTTATTGTTGTGAAAGTTAAATGCATGTGTGCTAGCCTTTAAACCCTGTGGCCTTCTGTTCTGGTTTTGGACATACTTCCAGTTCCTCTGTCGGATCCGTGTTGAACCTCACATCTCGCTGTTAGCCTGCAGCAGACCTGGATCATCCTGGCCTTCCTCTTTCATTCACTCTCTGCAGCTGGAGCTTCCCACTGGACTGAACAGAAATTATGCACCACAGATTCTCCTGTTATTCCAGTGACCAAAAATTTAATATTTAACTGTGTACCCAAGCAGTGTTTTTTAAAGCATTATTTATATACTATTATATTTATAATATATAAATAATATGTCATATATTATATTTATCCTTTATAAAATATTAAATTTTTTGAATAAGCTTTTAGTTTTAATTTCAGTTTTTATTTTAATTAAAGTATTAGTAAGTTTCTTACTTTTTGAAACATTTCTATTTAGCTTTCATTTTTCCCAGCTTTAGTTTTAGTATTTGTAGTTCTTCAACATAATTTTCTTTAGCCTAGTTTAATCAGCAGCTCTGCCAATATATATTTATCCCAAGTTTAGTGCAGCTTTATTTCAATTAATAAAAACAATTCGTTTTAGTTACTAATAACAACACTGGCTCAAGTTTTGTGTGTCCTATATTCTGCAATAAACATTTTTATGTTTTAAATGGAACATTCTTTAAAAATACAATAGGGTAACACCCTGTTGTAAATATAAAATAAATGTAACATACAGATATCATAAACCATGTAATTTGACCACCTGGGGTGAACAAACAACACTTTCTGAAGGTTAAGCTCTTTTCTCTGAATTTTTAAAAGATTCAACTGCTATTTTGTTACCTATTCATGGAAACTGTCTGCTAATGTATGAATCCATTACTGTGTCACATGACACTTTAGTTTAAACCCAAAGCTCCATACATTGCTGTTTTATACTATTGTACTACTATAGAGTCTTTTCTCTTTGTTGGGTGATTGTTGTTGTCAAGGGACACGTCTTAAAGTTTACAAAGGCAGCCCGCACACAATTGAACTAGAACAATTACTCCGACTTGGCAAACAAGTTGTCTTTTGGGGATCTGTGAGGCCCATATAGAGCAAACATCTCAGAAACTGGCACATTTTTACATCAGTGATGACGTTAACTTGTCCCTGGCAATGGCAAGCAGTTCTATGAACCTTCTTTAACTTTAATTTTATAACATATACTTAAAAATCATTGTCCATATATCCTTGAAGGCAACTTTACATTTTTTAGACCAGTGATAGGCTACTGATGTTTCTTGAAGTATTGAAGTATTTTACATGGCTGATGTGGCTGCCTCATTACAGCACTGACTTCTAATTAAGCAAGCATTTTCAGACTTACTGTGGTTGAGGTTTGGGTTTTAGTGATCTTCTAAACCGCATAAAGAGCTGATCAAGTGTTATATGTATATATGGAGGAAGAACAGATTGGCAGAGGAGAGTGTGGAATTTGAGAGCCGACTGTGATGTTTGTACTGTAAAGCCAAGAAATTGTGCTGGGACCTCAATTGCCAGCCATTCTCTCTGTCTCTTTCTCTCAGATGCATACATAAAGTGCAAGTTTAAAGGGATAGTCCAAAAAAAAAAAGAAAGTCCTGTTTTTATTTACTCCAGACGAGTAAATGTTCACATTGTTGAATTTTTCAACAACAAAAAAAATACATAAAAAAGCAAGTCTTCTGAAACCGTATAAGAAATTCAAGCTGTGATTCACTGAAAACCTTGCTCTGCACTGTACATGCTAACAGTGTGCTAACAACATGCTACAACATGCTAAAAGCATATTAAAATTAGCAGTGTGTTTAAAAACGGGCTAAAACATGCTAGCAACATGCTAAGATAGCCTATGTGAAGAACATGCTAGCAGTGTGCTAACAACTTGCTAGAAGCATAAAGTTAACTGTTAAAAACTTGTTTTGACATGCTAGCAATGTGCTAAAATCCCTTATGAAAATTAACCATGGTTTTACTACAAAAAAAAACAAAACATGGTTATAAAGTGCAAGTTTAAAGGGATAGTCCAAAAAAAAAAAGAAAGTCCTGTTTTTATTTACTCCAGACGAGTAAATGTTCACATTGTTGAATTTTTCAACAACAAAAAAAATACATAAAAAAGCAAGTCTTCTGAAACCGTATAAGAAATTCAAGCTGTGATTCACTGAAAACCTTGCTCTGCACTGTACATGCTAACAGTGTGCTAACAACATGCTACAACATGCTAAAAGCATATTAAAATTAGCAGTGTGTTTAAAAACGGGCTAAAACATGCTAGCAACATGCTAAGATAGCCTATGTGAAGAACATGCTAGCAGTGTGCTAACAACTTGCTAGAAGCATAAAGTTAACTGTTAAAAACTTGACATGCTAGCAATGTGCTAAAATCCCTTATGAAAATTAACCATGGTTTTACTACAAAAAAAACAAAACATGGTTAGCCTACTACGAATTAACCATAATTTTTCCACACTAACCATAATTTAACCATGGTATTTATTTTGCTAATGTGACTTAATGTTTTTGACTAATTTTCACAGACAAAATCCAGTCATTTCAATAGGAATCCATGCAATCATGAATTACACATGCGGGTGAAAGATTTCAACGCAGATTTCATAAGTTCAAGTGGGTCATGCGGATTTGACTTGAAAAAGACTTGTGACTTGTGTGCGCTGTTCTACGCATCACTACACTATTAAAAGTAGATAGAGCTTTCTTTGCCAATTTCATTGGACATGTTGTAAAACACATTAACTCATGCTAATAACACAAAATAACATGTTAAATTGCCTTACAACACTTGTTAAGAAATACTGTTGGAAACATGCTAGAAATGTGCAATTTCTTAGTAGTGATTTTATGAAGCCTAATTGGGTCTGAAGAGGTAAATTGGGGTCTGAACTAGTTTGATATGTTTTTTTAATACAATCAAATGTGGCCTGAAGGGGTATGATGATGGTCTGTCTGAGATTTCATTTGTTTTCCTGTCTTCATTTGTCTTTCTGGTAATGAAACCTAAAAGTCAACATCAAAGTTTGTCATCAGACTTTGCTCAGTATGTTCTTTAAGTAAAACAACAGTTGTTCAGCAGTGCAATTTTTAAAAAATTATGTAATTTTAAGTTTTGTTTTTACATTTTAATTAAGTTAATTCAATTTAACATAATGTAAGTCATCCTGCGGCCCCCTTAGAAGTTTTCTTGAGAGCAAAGTTACAAACAACACAAACAAGCATTTGAAAAGTTTTTATTTTTTGTAACAAACTCGTCAGCAAAGTCATTTATATTCAATATCTTAACTATACAAATAGTCGTTCACTTCGATACAAGAGAGCATCTAGAATTTAAAGCATGCCCCGAAAAATGAAGCAGTCTCAAAGAGTCACTCCACCTATAGTGAAGCCTGTACACGGTACAAAAGACAAAGCAAGTCTCCAGCCATCCGCTCACACTCATCTGTGCTAAAACACATCTCTATCCTGCTTTCCTCCACACATTAACTCATGAAAATTGCTGTACACCTTAATATATATGAGTAAAAACTCAGTGTGAAGAATGGGCCGAAAAAAAATATTTGAAAAAGTCTTCCTTTTATCCCTTAATCAGGTAATACCTCACTGCCCTCATTACTAGTGCATTCTCTTACCCATCGAGTGACAGGAAGTCATTCATCTGATGCCAAATAAATCCTTCAAGATACAATCAGCACTTCAGATTAAAAAATAACAGAATAAATAAAAGCAGAAAGATGGGCTAACAACAGTTAACAATGCCTTCTGACAAATCCTCAAGAAAAGTGACCTGGACATGTTTTCATGAGAATCAGGGCCTGTAGGTCAA